ACCTCAGGTCCTTAGATACGATGTCACAATTGCGCTGTTTATCGACGGGGGGGCATTCTGCTTTTCATAGATTTGCCAACCCATCTAGGTACCCTTTTTTCGAGTTGACACGTTTTAGGATGGTGGCTAGACGATCTTGCTCCAGCTTCACAAGCGTTCACAAGTTTTACCAGAGTGAGATTTGTAAACCGGAACTAGGGAAGCAATTGTAATACAAAATGCCCCCCCGTCGACAAACAGCGCCTTCTTTTCTTACTACGACCACTCCCTTTCCTCCTCCCCCCCACCCAATCCTACCCAAATCTTCCAAAGGTCTCTCAAATGTTCTGCCAACTTTTTTGGAGTTTGTTCCACTACTTCTGCAGTTTCCCTGAACACTGAACGGGAAAGGGACGGGGGAGGGTATGTACCGTACCATTTTTCTCTAGTGCACATTCGAATCGCTCCCCTCCTAGTGACAAAATCGACCGCCCCGCTGGGAGTCCCAACGTCCGACGTACTCTGGCAGATCAAGGACCAAGAAATTAGTTCTGGTAGCTACATTAGCGAAAAAAAAAACATAAAACAATCCAGCAAAAGGGACACAGAAGCTCTTCCTCATTTATTGTCTTTTAACTCATTAGCAACAGAAACAGCATCCAGTGATACAAAATGCATAATTAGTGGGGCAGGGGTGGTGCAGAGGCAAACGGTGGCACCTACCACGTATGCGGATTGGGGGGGGGTCACATTTTGGACAGGCTCTCGTCCAAGGCTAATCAAGCTTTCCTTCCCTTTATGGCCAACATATTGGGTGATATCAGATTAGTCTGGAAGGATAAAACACTGGATTTTCAGTTGGCTGGACCCTGCAAGTCATTGCATAGGCCATATCGCGATCAAAGGGTGCCACGGTCCTGAATATCATTGGATTGCGTACAGCATTTTTGAAAGGGACCCGTCAACCATTAAAGCTCAAGGCTTTGAGCTTTTTTGATGAAGTAAGGTTTGCGTGGTACTGTCATTCATCAAAGCACTAAAGATGTTCATCTGTGTACTCGTTGCATCTCTTTCATCGGGCCATGTGGCAGGACAATCATAACATGCGGCGCTAGTGGGAGGGGCGAGCGATGCCACGCTAGCGAAAGACGAGTTGTCCTGCCTGGTCATTTGAGTTTCAGAGCTGAAGGGACGAGAAAATCCGGTATCATCGAAATTAGGCTGCTCCAAAGGTGGAGCCCTGCCCTTCCACAGAGCAAGCCATCAAAGCGTAGTAACCAGGAGGTGAAGGTCGGCCAAGAAAAAAATTTCAAAACCGTACCGAATACGCTCTCAACGACAATAGACGAGTCTCTGAATAATAGCAGCTTCTCTTCTTCACCCGAACACTCTTCTGCACACTTATCGATCACCATGTTGTCTAGAATTTGATGTTTAGAACAGCTTCTCGATCATAAATCCAGGAAATTCCAAAGAATTCACTTACCCACAACTCCTTCTGTCTCTATCATTTGCTGAATGTTCTTCAAGTAGGCTACCAGGTCTGCAGGGTACGTCTCTTTCCCTTCGCTTCGTTTATCTTCATCTCTTATGCTTTCACGCACTTCTTCTTCGTTACCGCCACCAATTCGTCCATATTTCTACAACGGAAATTCCAAGATAATCGGAAAATCCAATATAATCTCCACAAGCTTGAAGTTTAGGGAACGAACCTTATCAAAATCGTTACTGCCGTAGTTTCGACCTCCTCCTCTGGAAAATCGATTATTTCTTTGTCCTCCACGACCGCGGAACCCACCACCACCACGGTTTTTTTCAGGAAATGTCCGGTGAT